GTGATCTCGGCTCACTGCAAGCTCCACCTCCCAGGTTCACACCATTCTCCTGCCTCAGCCTCCTGAGTAGCTAGGACTACAGGCACCTGCCACCACGCCCGGCTAATTTTTTGTATTTTTACTAGCGACGGGATTTCACCGTGTTAGCCAGGATGGTCTCGATCTTCTGACCTCGAGATCTGCCTATCTCAGCCTCCCAAAGTGCTGGGATTACAGGCGTGAGCCACCGTGCCTGGCTGGCCTTGAAGATCTGCTTTTAAATGAGTTTGGCTGCTGCAAGAACTGGCCAAATGACTGGCATCCACGCTCCCTCCATGGGCAGGATCCAGACCAAGAGAATGAATGGAATCAAACTGAGAGACCCCACCAGGGCCCCCTCCCTGCCCTCAGGCGTGGGCCACACTACACCTCTCCTCTACCACTGTTGGTTTTCACAGGTTGAGAAGTCCTCTTTTTAAAATTTAATTTTTTTTGTAGAGACAGGGTCTTGACATGTTGCCTAGGCTTGTCTTGAACTCCTGTCCTCAAATGATCCTCCTGCATCTGCCTCAAGAAGTGTTGGGATTACAGGTGTGAGAAACTGTGCCCTGCCAGAAATCCTCCTTTTTGCTCCAGCTGGCTCAAGCTGGTTTCTGTCACTTGCACCCAAAAAGGTCCTCAGCACCACATTACCACACCATTGAGCTTGTGTACAGGCTGGCAGTCTCCCTGGGCAAGTCTGGGCTAGTGCTTGAGCCCAGGGCTGGCTCTCTTCTGAGAGACTCTGGGGACCCCGCATCGCACTCTCCACTCTCACGCTTCCACCAGGCCCTTGGGAACAACCATCCATAGTGGCTCGGCGGCTCGGATGGATGGACGCCCTTCGCTACCACCTGGCCTGCTGATTTCTGGTCAGCTGTCTTGCAGTCTGCACTCTCCTCAAACCTCCCACCCCACTTCCAGTGTCTCTGAGATGATTGGCTGCTCCTCACAGAGCAAACAGAAGCTATGAGGTGGGAGCACCAAGCCCCCATCTTACACCCCTCACACCACCCCTCCCTCCATTACCACAGGTTCTGCCCCCCTGCCCATCCCTCATCTCAGGCCATCATTCACTGTCAGTGCCCACCGCCAAACTCCATCTTTCCCTGTCTATGGATTCCTTGCTATCAGAGTCAAACTTACCTCTGCCATCATAAAACACTCAAAACAAAACCCCCCAAAGCTCAGGCGTGGTGGCTTACACCTGTAAATCCCAGCACTTTGGGAGGCCAAGGTGGCTGGATCACTTGGCATCAGGAGTTTGAGACCAGCCTAGTAAACATGGTGAAGCCCTGTCTCTACTAAAAATACAAAAATTAGCCAGGTGTGGTGGCTCACACCTGCAGTCCCAGCGACTCGGGAGGCTGAGGCAGGAGAGTTGCTTGAACCTGGGAGGTGGAAGTTGCAGTGAGCCGAGATTGCACCACTGCACACCAGCCTGGGCGACAGAGCACAACTCCATCTCAAAAAAAAAAAAAGGAAAAAACCAAAGATGCTTTGTCCAGCCAGTTACCACCCTAGCTTGTTTAGATTCTCACAAGCATTCTCCAATGCCACTGCCCCCCTCCTATGGTCCAGCCCTGGCACATTTGGCAACTCGTGTCTTCTCTTCACCTGTGTCCATCATAAGCAGTGCTGGGGCCCCATCACTCCCCAGAAGCAGCTCCTCCAACTAAGAATGGAGTCACATGAAACAAGTGCCAGGGGCCCTGGGATCACAGAGGGGGACTCCTCTCTGGTGGGCGGGGCAGGTGCAGAAGCAGCAGCCAGGCTGATGCCTGAGGGCAGAGGACACACCCTCCCCACAGGCGGCGGGAGGTAGGACTGTGGCTCACAGGGGCAGCAACTGTCCTGTCATCCCAGGGTCTGAAACGCAGCCCCTCACTGGGGCTGACCTCCACCTGTCCCAGATTTAAAACCTTGTGAGGACAGGGAATTGTCACTGATTTTTCTTTATTGGTGGGGCGAATGATTTGATTGCACTTATATTTTGAAAGGACGGAGCTGGTGGCGGTGTGGAAGGCTGAGGGCCGAGTCGGGAGGCAGCAGAAGCCGCAGCAGCAAGACTTGGGAACCTGGGGGATCCTCTGCTCAGGCCCTTCCCTCCCTGGCCCTCCAGAGCTGGCGCTGAGCTCTATTCTTGGCCGGCCTCTCTGCATTCTCTGTGGACCAGGCTCACCATATCCTCCATGGCCGCGCCATCCCTGAGATCTCCAAAACTGTTCTCGACCTGCCTTCTCTCAGTCCCATGCCTGCCAGGCTGGGGAGCAGCCAGACCCCCTCCCTGGACTACCCTCAAGCATCTCGGCCTCAGCATATCCAGGCCCCGACCTCTTCCCACCCCCTCAGCAGCTGCCACATCAGCAAACAGAAGGGCTTCGCCGGGAACTGTGAGCCCCTCATTTACCATCCTGCCCTGCTATATTTCTCCCACTCATCCACTCTGTCCCCTCAAGCTCTTTCTGCCTGCCTCCCCAGCACCTGCCTTCTTGGCTGCCACTCCGCCTTTCAACATAAATGTGACACTTGGCTGGGCTCGGTGGCTCACACCTGTAATCCTAGCAGTTTGGGAGTCAGAGGTGGGTGGGTTGCTTGAGGTCAAGAGTTTAAGACCAGCCTGGCCAGCATGGTGAAACCCCGTCTCTACTAAAAATACAAAAATTAGCTGGGTGTGGTGGCAGGCGTCTGTAATCCTAGCTACTAGGGAGGCTGAGGCAGGAGAATTACTTGAACTTGGGAGGCGGAGGCTGCAGTGAGCTGAGATTTCACCACTGCACTACAGCCTGGGTGACAGAGTGGGACTCCATCTCAAAAAAAAAAAAAAAAAAAAAGCCGGGCGCGGTGGCTCAAGCCTGTAATCCCAGCACTTTGGGAGGCCGAGATGGGTGGATCACGAGGTCAGGAGATCGAGACCATCCTGGCTAACACGGTGAAACCCCATCTCTACTAAAAAAAATACAAAAACTAGCCGGGCGAGGTGGCGGCGTCTGTAGTCCCAGCTACTCAGGAGGCTGAGGCAGGAGAATGGCATGAACCCAGGAGGTGGAGCTTGCAGTGAGCTGAGATCCGGCCACTGCACTCCAGCCTGGGCGACAGAGCGAGACTCCGTCTCAAAAAAAAAAAACCTATAAATGTGACACTCCCTGCCCCTTAACTGGTCAAAAGAAGTAAATAATACCTGCAGGGCATCCCTGCCCTCCCAGAACGGCCTGTGTGGTGTGTGCTCGGCACTCCTCGACTTATTCATCCAGCAGATGTTGACTCTGTTCCCAGGCTGGGGACACAGCAGGGGGGTTACAGGGTGAGTGCAGGGGTTGGGGAGACAGAAGGGGAAGCACAAACAGACGCAGAGATCCTCAGCTAACCCAAGAGAGAGGCCAGTCTCAGCAGCTTGGAACCCGTGACACCAAGTCCAGGACTCGTGGACGGTGGGTAGGCGAAAACTGTGGAGAACAGTGAACCACCTATCAACACCAACACGCACTCACCTTCAACGAGAATTTCTACTCCCAGGAAGGTGTCGTACAGACACGTCTGTGAGCTCGAGGCAGCAACTCACAAAATGACTGGCGGTCACCGAATTTCACGTTAATCGCAGGTGAAGTGAATCATACAACACCTATATGCTGGAGTAGGTCCAACCATAGGAAAGAATGGGGTCTCTGATGTGAGGACGGTCAGGCTGTGAGGCCTGTCACCCCACTGGTCACCAGGGTTGATTCGGCTGATGTGGTTGGCTCAGAGGTAGGTGTCCCCTCCTTCCCCATCGTTCCCTGTGTGTCCCTCTGAAGCTGTGTGCTCCGTCAAAGAGGATGAAGGATCGGGCTTCGAGTAGCTGTGCTCCTCTGCCAGGACCTACAAACAAGCTCTCAGTAAAGAATGGGGTCTCAGTCCTATTGCAGGTCTGCACACATGGATGTGTGTGCCTCACACGGCCGCACCTTGGTGTGCCCAGGGCGGGTCAGGAGAGGGCTCCCACCCAGACCGGGGTAGGGGTACCGAGTGGGTGGTAATGATGAGGAGAGTCTCACGTTTCACTTGTTTAAATTTCTTTTTTTTTTTAATTTTTGAACGGAGTCTCACTCTGTCCCCCAAGCTGGAGTGCAATGGCACGATCTCAGCTCACTGCAACCTCCACCGCCTGGGTTCAAGCCTCAGCCTTTCCTGCCTCAGCCTCCCAAGTGGCTGAGATTACAGGGACCCGCCACCAAGCCCAGCTAATTTTTTTGGGGGGGAGTTCGGGGGCGGAGTCTAGCTCTGTCCCCCAGGCTGGAGTGCAGTGGCTCTGCCTCCCGGGTTCACACCATTCTCCTGCCTCAGCTTCCCGAGTAGCTGGGACTACAGGCGCCCGCCACCACGCCCGGCTCATTTTTTGTATTTTTAATAGGGAGTTTCACCGTGTTAGCCAGGATGGTCTTGATCTCCTGACCTCGTGATCCACTCGCCTCGGCCTCCCACAGTGCTGGGATTACAGGCGTGAGCCTCCGCGCCCCACTGGCCCATGACCAGCTAATTTTATTTTTAGTAGAGACGGGTTTCTCCATGTTGGCCAGGCTAGTCTCAAACTCCAGGCCTCAGGTGATCCGCCCGCCTCGGCTTCCCAAATTGCTGGAATTACCGGAGTGAGCCACCGCGCCCGGACACTTGTTTAAATTTGTTACAGAAACCGTGCAATACTTTGGTCTGGGGTTGGAGCGGCTGGCGGTAGGTAGAGCTTTTTAGGAGCGCAGCCCCGGGTTTGGGGACACCGCGTCAGAGGATAGTGGAATGGCCAGCCCGCTGCGGAATCCCGCGGACTCCCTGGTCAGGCCGGGGTCCGGGGTCCGGGGTCCACCGGATCAGACCCTGGAGGGTGGGACCGCCAGGACCCACCAATCGGGAGGTGGTTGACAGGGTGAGAGTCCACCCCAGCTGTGGGATCAGCTTGGACTACGGCTCGCCCCCTAGAACCCCGCTTCAGCCTGGGGAAGTCCGGCCCACCCAGGCTCGGGGCTGCGTCCCCACTAGAAGGCGCCTGGAGTGAGGCTGGCAGCCCCGCGGTCCCG